TCACGCACAACCATCTCTAGGGTTGACAGAGAATGGTCCGAAAAAGAAAAAACATCCAGTGAGCGGCAGTTCTGTGGGCGGAAATGCCTTATTGATGCCAGAGGTCAGAGGAGAATGGCCAGACTGGTTGGAGCTGATAGAAGGGCAACAGTGACTCAAATAACCACCCATTACAACCAAGGTGGGCAGAAGAGCATCTCTGAACGCACAGTACGTCGAACTTTGAGGCAGATGGGCTACAGCAGCAGAAGACCACACCGGGTGCCACTCCTTTCAGCTAAGAACAGGAAACTGAGGCTACAGTTTGCACAAGCTCATCGAAATTGGACAATAGAAGATTGGAAAAACGTTGCCTGGTCTGATGAGTCTCGATTTCTGCTGCGACATTCGGATGGTAGGGTCAGAATTTGGCGTCTACAACATGGAAGCATGGATCTATCCTGCCTTGTATCAACGGTTCAGGCTGGTGGTGGTGGTGTCATGGTGTGGGGAATATTTTCTTGGCACCCTTTGGGCCCCTTGGTACCAATTGAGCATCGTTGCAACGCCACAGCCTACCTGAGTATTGTTGCTGACCATGTCCATCCCTTTATGACCACAATGTACCCAACTTCTGATGGCTACTTTCAGCAGGATTATACGCCATGTCATAAAGCTGGAATCATCTCAGACTGGTTTCTTGAACATGACAATGAGTTCACTGTACTCAAATGGGCTCCACAGTCACCAGATCTCAATCCAATAGAGCATCTTTGTGATGTGGTGGAACGGGAGATTCGCATCATTGATGTGCAGCCGACAAATCTGCAGCAACTGTGTGATGCCATCATGTCAATATGGACCAAACTCCCTGAGGAATGCTTCCAGCACCTTGTTGAATCTATGCCACCAAGAATTGAGGCAGTTCTGAAGGCAAAAGGGGGTCCAACCCGTTACTAGCATGGGGTACCTAATAAAGTGGCCGGTGAGTGTATACATATATATATATATATATATACACATACGTATATATATATATATATATATATATATATATATATATATATATATATATATATATATACGTATATATATACATATATATATATATATATATACGTATATATATACGTATATATATATATATATATATATATATATATACGTATATATATATATATATATATATATATATACGTATATATATATATATATATATATATACGTATATATATACATATATATATATATATATATATATACGTATATATATACGTATATATATATATATATATATATATACGTATATATATACGTATATATATATATATATATATATATACGTATATATATACGTATATATATATATATATATATATATATATATATATATATATATATATATATATATATGTATATATATATATGTATATATATATATGTATATATATATATGTATATATATATATGTATATATATATATATATATATATATATATATATATATATATATATGATATGCTTGTAGAATACTGCAGGTAAGGAGTCAGATGTAAAATGTGTCTAATTTTAATTTAAGTATCCTGTTCTTTATTAAGTTAGTTATTTTAGGACCAATTAATGTTTAACGTTTTTAAAACGTTTAAACATTAAATGGCAAATTTAATTGGCCTTTGTGGAGCCTTCACAAAGATCTTTCATTTACAGTGAATAAAAGGAAACACTTGATCTAAGAAAAAGTCGCTTCTGCAAGTACAAAATTATAAAACACATTATCTCTTAGTTTTTAGAGAAAGTTTTTTCTCATATGTGTTGTTAGTTTTTTTGTGTCAGTTTCTTACTCGCTCTCCTCTTTACGGGTGTATCTCGTCTGCAAGCAAACACATAACCATGACGAACTTTGACCTGGCGTTTGGGCTTACTCATCTCCTTTTAGTCCATTTTCATTCAGATATAACTCCCTTATTTAAATTAATTTGAAGAAAGGAATCAGCTAAAAGCTTAAAATAGCTTTCGTTCAGCGCCAATCTGGGCGTTGCTAGGCAACAACGCACACCTGTTCTGATTCTTCTTCTTATTATCATTATTATTTTTATTATTGGCGGATGGCAACCAGCTTAAGGCGCATTTACCGCCACCTACCAGACTGGAGTGTGGTTATGAATGACGTCAGAGGGAAAATATTAATTCATACCTCAATGATATGAACGAATGTAAATATTATCTATCAATCAATATCTATACAAACTTACATATAAATTAATATGTGTGTATTCAGATGCATACACACACTTATATTCTTTATTTAAATACGATTAAATAATCCAGTGTTTTTTTTTTTTTTTATCTAATTGACTGATTTCTAGCAGAATCACCTGTTCTGATTGATTAGTAAGTAAAGGTTTGGTTTGTATGCTTTCCGTTTTAAGGTTAAAATAGATCCTAACATAATTTATTTTGGGTTCTATTTCTATCTTATATCATAAAGTGAGCATCCTGTCTATAAACACTATAATTTGTTTTTTTTTATCAACATGCCTGAAGAAAACTGGAGGAAAACTACTAGTCAGACCAAATTAGAGAGTACCATTGTTTACCACAGGGTGGCAGTATCCTACAGGCTTAAGCATAAGCGTTCTTTCATAAAATAATAAAAGGAAACAAAGCAATACAAAAACAGGGAGAAATGAAAATAAGAGATTTCTGTTTTTAAATACTCCTACACAGGGACCCAGTTCTTTGACCATAATTTAGTGTAACTGAAGCGCATGCCAATTTCTAAAATCCCATAGATGTTTTATGCTGATGAAGACTCTCAGTCATCCAGGTAATTACATAGAAGTTTTCCAATGTAATTCATTATCACCAAACACATATTAACAAAATAGAACATATAAAGAAAAACACATATTCTTAGAACAGATGCATAATAAAAGATACAGGATTTTTATGCGGAACGAAACTTACTGCATATCAGTGAAAGCATCTCCCCAACGATCATGTGTGGAGGAGGGGAGGTAAGTTTATAGTCAGAGCACCATTCATATACAAAGTGTTATATGTTGCTTTACAGGAAAGCAACTTAAAGATAAAAGGGGGATTGTTCCACAGATATGGGACTTGGGCAACTTGTAGTAATGGACTAATTATTAACCTTTCTGTGTAACACATTAATCTGTGGTCAATTGGGAGACCATACATCCTGCAGCTAAATCTTAGCTGGGAGTGTTAATCAAAACAATGAACCAAATATAAAATGTATTGGTGAAAAGTAGACGATGGTGTCGCAGGGGTCCTATTAAAGTTGACTAAACCAACATGAATGACACAAATTTAAATTGACAAGAGGAACTCAAGTGAACTGTATACATTTTGGAAGAGAGGGAAATTGCTCAGATCACCTTCCTGTTTTTCTTGTGTCAAAATAACCCCCACTGTGTTAACCCCCCCACAAAATCCAATAAATGCAACAGGAAGTTGAATGGGTTATGTTATTTTTTGATATTTTTGTTTCCTATATGGTCTTAAATTGCTGCATTTTATTCATTGGGATGGATAAATTGCATTCAAAACTCCTTTAAGCATTTTTTTAAGCTATATAAATTCAAGTGAAGAGGGTATATTCAAGTAATGACAAATGTGGTGAATGACAATATTCAAGATGAAGTTTGGTGCTTAAAATTCAATTAAGCTGCTTATACTGGGGTTTAAGTGAAGACGGATTATTTTGAGCTGGAGGACACAGGATGTATACAGAAAATGAGGACAACATGGAGGTTGATAAAGTTTTCTATCCAAGGAAATCAAACTGACTGCAATAAAAACAGCTATTCCCACCTCTGTTAAAATATAGATTTTTATATTTAAATCATATGAAATATTTTGGTTATCTTTCAGCATGGATAGAATAAACGGTTAATTCTGGTCATCTATGTTTAGACCTAGATTATATGACCCAGATTATATAATTCATAAGGCTGATAGGGAATGCAACCTTTGTGACTACATGACAGGAAATGTTTTCCAAACTTTCATACACCTTGATGGTGTTAACTCACTCCTTTGGAAAGTGGTCTTAGGTTATCTTTCCAAATATTTTATTTAGAACAACCGATCGAAAACAAAAAGAGACACCAGACTCATTTAAAACCATTCCAGAATATCTTTTATTTCACTGCCCTGCACCCGTTCCCCCGACCTCCCTCATCCCTTTTGCATCGATCAATCATTACAAGGATATGGTGCTGATTCCATTGTACATCAGAATACATAAATAAATAAGGGACAATTCTTCCTACAACACGCAAAAAAAGAGAGAGAGGAACAAAAAAGAAAAACAAAATCAATCATACGGCTGATTTTAATAAATATGCTTACATCTAACCTGTCCTCGTTTATTTACATCCACATTGTTTATGCTTTGGGACGGTAATCAACTTTAAAAGCATTTGCATTACTACTATATGTAAACCCTTCAAACAAAACAGATGTACCCTATGTTTTAAAAGAGTTGTTTGTTCTATTAACTTCCATTTACTTGATCAGGGGTATATAACCCAGTAACCTGAAATGGTTTAACATGTTTAAACCGTTTTCATTGAAAGTCAGAGGGTTTCAGTATTGCATGGCAAACTGCATGCTTTGCCCTAATCCCTGGTTTTGCATTCATTTTATTCAGTCTTTTTTTGTTGTTGTTGCTCATTACCAGACCTCTTCTTTTTGCAGAAATGAATGGAAAAATCAAGCAGTGATTGCACCAGCTGAGATGACAGCTTAATCTGGGCCAGATCTTTACAGTGAAAAAAGTGCATGCATGTTGAATGTCTGGCCACAGTCCCCTCATGATGACCCTTCCTACAATGAATGGGTTAAAAACAGAGTTTAAGTGGAGGAAATGCCCCCCCATCCACAAAACAGGGGAGTGATTTGAAGGATTTTTGCAGAAGCTCCAGGTTCACATTGTTCGGTCCGCGCTGTAGGAGAGCCTCTGATTGAATTGCAGGTTTTTCTTTCCACTTGTAGCTACTCTACACACAATTACATCAAACTCGTGATCAGACACTTTGTTGGTTGTGTAGCTGTTTAAACTGATGGCGAGGGGAAGAGAGGGAGAGAAAAAGGGGAGGGACGTTCTGCTCAGTGCTGGGTTTTTTTCCCCCTGCTACGAGGATCTGAGCTGATTTGTTTAGATAAATAGCAGGTAGCAGTGTTGGTAAGATTTAAAATGCCTAATTTAAAACCAATATAAAAAAAAGACATAATGGAACACGATGCACATGGTCATATGTATTTCTTAGGAATTTACTGTTTCATTCTGATAAAAACGAAACAAAAAAAAAATAAAATAAAAGAAAGCACTGCTTTGCATATGCGGTACATGCAGTTCTATGCTTTCATCTGCTGGACAGTTCAGTGTTTAACACTGATTTGTTTCTTGTGTTTTGAATTGTTATATGTGGCAAATTAATGACACAAAGAAAACTTATTTTCTCAAGCATATAGCTCTGTATATTTATGCAGCAAATGCAAAAAAAACAAAAAATATGAAGAAATAAATATGACGATGTGAAGTGTCAGGTTTTTTTTTTTTTATTCCTAGTTTAAGTTGTTCTGAACAGCCAGTTTAAATCCTCCACATTTAGGACAGTTTTAGTTTACTTTCCCAAAGCATGGTTCTGGGATGTAGAATTGTCCCTCTGCAGGTCTAAGCAGATCTTTAGCGTCAGGATGCTCATGGCGGCCTTCACATGGAGATGCTGCTGTAGAGATCGTCGATCCTCTTCTTGAAGAACTCCTTCAGCTCAGGTCGTTTGGCCTTCAGCGTCGGCGTCAGGAGCCCGTTCTCGATGGAAAACATCTCATTGTGGATGTAGATATTCTTTACCTTTAAAGAGACATAAAAACAGAGTTAGGGAACGGGTGGTTTCCCTAGCAGGTTCCACCTCTGCCACATCCGTTTTGCAACCATCAACAAGCTCCAGGGAGGATTTTAACCACTCTTATTGGGAGAATCGGAGGTATTCACTTAAATTTGTTGGCTTAGTTGAAAGGATACAGCTTTTGTTGTTGCACCACAAATTCTTAATAGGCCTGAGGAAGCCCCATTAGCTTGTTTTAACACTTTCAAACCCAGAGAGGTTAAACTTTCAGCTCGGCAAAGAACTCATGCTCAGAGAGGTGAAACATTCAGCTCGGCAAAGAACTCATGCTCTTCCTCAACACTGAAGTCCTCAGACATTTTTCTTTCGTTGTTTCTTTCTTTGCACAGGTAAACAGCACATTTCTTCTTCTACGCTTGCATTATTGACAGAGCAGACGCTGAATGCGCACTTTCATCTGGTTTGGTCTGCCGCGGTTTCCGTAGACTCGTGAACGCGCTTTTAGGAAATCCTATACACTACTGTTTATGCTCTAAAAACATTCTAAATGACTTCGTTTCGAGTAAATTCTGGACGCTACCCACTCAGGACACTTGGAATACATTGGACGAGCAGTATGGAGGAATATTGACACGTTTTATGTGGACTTTTATGGACCTTTCTGTCTCGGTCACCATAGACCTCCATTATTTGAATGTCAGCAGACAGCAAGAAGCCTCCCAGATCTCCAGATGCATTTGAGATATCAAAAAAGTACTCCAGAGTGTTGTTCAGCATGGGGGTGAGTAGAAAATGAAGGCAAATCATGTTTTGGGTGTACTATTCCTTTAAGCTGACCACATGCTACCAAAAATTGAGGTCTTTGCACCTTTTTGCATTTACAAACTGCAATCAGGCGTATTGTTTTGTGACTTAGATGCAGGAAGGAACCTCTGCAGGTTTTCAAAGACCATTGGATTTCATGCCATCTTTGCTTCTTAGTTCCTGGAAATACAGTTAAAAAAAGACATGTCTCTTACCTGCTCAAAAGACAGGAGGCCATTGACTTTACCCAGACGCACCAGATCTTCAAGGATGGCCTTCTTTAGTTCCTGTAAACAGAAAGGATATATATGCATCAGTGCTGGATTTAAATCAGCTACAGAATCTTTTAACTTGTTTTACTTACCGTGTTTTTACAGAGGTCCTTGTAGGTTCCCAGGATGCCTTTCTTCTTGGCCCACTCAGGCATCACTTCAGGATCAGGGACCACAATTCCCACCAAACAGGACTAAAAAAACAATCCCACTTTTAATCCAAAAAGAAATTACTTAAATAAAAAATCCTTTACCTAAAGCTAAGAATTAATTATCGTGGGCTGTAGTATGATGAAGTCCTACCTGCAGACTATCTCCATGAACATAGAGCTGTGCCACCGGTTCACTCCTGATATAGATGTTTTCAATCTTCTCAGGGGAGATGTACTCGCCCTGCGCCAGCTTAAAGATGTGCTTTTTCCTGTCAATGATCTTCAGCGTACCATTCTTCAGCAGGCAAAGTAAAGAAAACATGAAAAAAAATGATCTTCATGTCATCACAACAGCATTTTGAACTTCTCTATGATACGGTGGAATGTGGTAAACTTTATGTACGTACAGGTAACCATTTGCCGATATCTCCGGTGTGTAGCCAACCGTCTGTGTCCAACGTCTCGGCAGTTCTCTCTGGGTCTTTGAGGTAGCCTTTAAACACATTTGGTCCCTTCACACAGACCTGGATGAAAAAAGGCCCATGGGATTAAGCATGAAACATACAGCAATTACCTCTTAACATTTATATTTCCTTACCTCTCCCTCACCCTTAGATGCAAAGTAGTTCTTCTCAGGAACATCCACCAGTTTAATGAGGTTACACGGCAGTGGAGCCCCAACATGTCCTATCAATCAGATTAAATAAAACAGAAACAATGGAACTTTACTGAGTACCAGCTACTTATTTTCTATAAATGAAAATAAACCAAGATCTGATTATGTAATGCAGATATTCATAAAAAAATAAATAAATAAACAGCAGAGGGTGGTGTTGTACCTTCTTCATTACTAGTTGTACAGCGAAGGGATCTCTCTTTGCTTTTCAAAGAGTATTGAAGCACACGTGTTTATAAAAGTACTGAATAACTTTTGGAAACATGACTCGGCAAAAATCTTGGCTTAAAAGTTACTATAGTGAATCATTAACAGAATTGGCTTGCTTTGTAAGCCGTCCTTAGATACAGTTAATCCATTTTCTTTAGGTTGCCCACTTTGTAGATCATGTGAAGGCATCAACTGAACTGAGAAATTATTTTATTAGGATAATAGGTAACCATAGTGTTTTAACGGTTGGAATCATAATCACAGTAATAGCATAAAGTTTGGGGTAGACAAAATACAGTGCTGTATATTTTGTCACTTCACCACCAAAAACCTCATCTTAGTTTCAAGACAGGTAGATTTGGGTTTTCATGGCGTTTTATCAAAATATGGATTTAAAATATTTATATTTCTCTTTAACGGAATACTTTTTAGAAGGTAAATATACATTCTGACAAATCCTAATTATTATTTTTTTCTTCCTACAAGGTAAAGTGTGATCGTGCAGGTTTACAGTCCTGCTGTATGTAAAACAATACAGCATTCTCCATTTACTAAACCCTTTTGGGGAATTTGAAGAATGATTACTGGAGAATTCCAAACATCTTTTAAAGATCTTTTCATTTAAAAAGTCTTCTCCCAGAAACATGTCACTACTGAGAATCGACAACGCATGGGTGGCGGGATGAAAGAAATGCATGCACTGGCTGAATTTTAACAGCTTTAAAAGAAACCCAGAGGGAGATTATTTAGAATATTACATCACAGGAAGGTTAGGCCATTAAAAAAAAAAAAAAAAAAAAAAAAAAAGAACACAATTAAACTAAACTTCACTCCTACAGCTTTTGGTCCTGGTTTTTAGATGTTTTGTAGATGGTTTGATTCATAAGGCTGCTGCTATTTTTCCTTCTTTACAAAGAGGAAAGGAACTTCCTTACCCCCCCCCCCCCCAATCCTTTAATCATACACTGGAAAAAAGGGGAAACACTGCAAGACTGTCTGAGCTGTTACATCACCATGACACCCACACAGAGAGGAATTCAGTTGTATATCCAAAGCTTCATGCAGGACATAAACAACAGATTCCCTTCAGGATGCTTATAACCATAATGACATTAATCAGTCTGCTTTTCAAACACCGGGATTGATTATTCCCCAAACTTACAGCTCACTGTCATCACTTTTTGATCTCTGACCGGTGACTTGAATCTAGCAAACAAGCTCAGCAGTTTCAGCAGAGATTAAGATCTGTTTCTCTTATCAAGGCCTGCTGTTTACCTGAGGTCCAGTCTCCAGGTGTGGTGTAGGTACATCCAGCCGTGCACTCTGTTTGTCCGTACGCTTCATATACCTACAGAGGAACATCAGGAAGGCACATGTCAGCAACCCTCCTGCCATTTAGATCAGATTCAAATGAATAAGATTAGATTCAAATGAATAAGATCAGATTCAAAAGAATAAGATCAGATTCAAATGAATAAGATCAGATTCAAATGAATAAGATCAGATTCAAATGAATAAGATCAGATTCAAATGAATAAGATCAGATTCAAATGAATAAGATCAGATTCAAATGAATAAGATCAGATTCAAATGAATAAGATCAGATTCAAATGAATAAGACATGAGCGCCTGAGGTGCATTGTTGTGGTGAAAAGGCAGTTTGTGCTGCAGCCCTTCTGCATCCCACTCATCAGTTCATCCCAACTGATGTTCGGCTGCATCAGTAAATGTGAATTGAGTACAGTATGGGTGAGTTAGTGAGTGTGTGTCTGACCTGGCAACCAAGAGCTGCTCTGAGAAAACTCAGGACGCTGGGTGAGGTAGGAGCTGCTCCTGTTATAATCATCCTCAGCCTTCCTCCCAGGCTGGCCTGTACCAAGACCAAGCATATCGATTAGACAGAGGAAGCTTAGTGATGTTGTATACACGATTTTAGACAGAAAACTTAGATAATAGCAACAAAACAAGACCATTTTTCAGTTAACCCTTTTAATATTTAACATCTCTGGGACAATTTTTTTTATAATTAAGCTTCATACTTCTTCAACAGTGTTTACACCTATTGCCAATCTGGTTTAACTGCATGAAAATGTAGTTATTGCTATATATTATTTGCTGGATTATAACCTAAATCTATAAATCTATGTTTAGATGTTGTGTTTCGCATATTGAGACACTTAGTTCCTAATATGGATTTCTTTCCTCAGTGAGTAAATGTACACTTATTAAAAATAGGTTTCTTCAAACGTTTTTTTTCTTCTATTTTTTTTACAAATTCCATATATTTACTTGTCTTTACCAGATAATTAGCAGGGGCGTCATAATAATAGGAGGCTTTAGTTTCAGCACGCTTATGCTCTGAAACTGGAATGATTTAAGGGTTGATTTCAGAAAAAGCTCTAAAAATTAAGACCTTTAAATTCTTGTTTAATTCCTGCTCTTTTGACGGGAAGTCAAGCAGTATTTACCTGAATTTTACTGAAGAAGATCTTGTCCCAGATGCTGTCACTGCGAATGATCCCTCTGCTGACCTCGGCCCCTTTTCTCTTGGCAGCGAAGTTGAGCAACCAGCGTTTCAAAGGGGTGTTTGCCTGGCTAAAAATCTGGGAATACAGACAGATATTTTCCAGCATCACGGTACATTTTTCCACTTGTTAAAACATTACTAACAGGGTGAACAACGACAGATCCAACACCTCAGTCCCTTTTTCCACCTTTCAGTTACATATTTTGGGTTTCACCTACTTATAACATTCCCAACCTTAATAGATTTTAAAGATGCTGCATAATGGTAGATGTAACAAAAAACGTGATTTTGTGTTTTGATTTTTTTCACCTGCAGTGACCTGTGTAATCCTACACGCGTATCCCTGGCTTTTCCGTCCACCTCACCTTGTCATACATGCGGTTGAGCAGCCGAGGCACCACGGGGAAAATGGTCGGCCGCAGGGCCTTCATGTCGTCCGGCAGGAGCCGGATGTCGCCCTGATAAAACCCGATCCGCCCTCCGTGACAGTAGACCACATTCTGCAGAGGCAGACATAAACAGTTACCCTTAAGCTATTTCAACTACATGCTGTCATAGTAAGGTGATGTTTCAGTATGCGTCAAAAAGGATAATCTGGTACAGTGCCTCTTTGAAGTATTCACACCTTTTGAGCTTTTCCGTGTTTTTTCATGTCACAACAACAACACTGAACATGCATTGCAAAAACCATCTAGAAATGAGTAAAAATGTCTTAAATTGAGTGTATTTACCTTTAATTTGAGTAGGTAAATTAGATGATTTGCCAATGGATTCATTATTTTTACTCTTAAAATTAGATAATATGTTAATAAGTAATGAGAAAAGTATGTTTTTCTTATTTTAGGTGTAAATTATCCTGTTTCATTGGCAAAGTGTTTCACCTACCTCCTCAACTCAAGAAAAAATGCACTTATTTTAAGAAAAAAATACTTATTCAGATCAAAATTAATTTCAGTACCAGTATGAAATTTGTTTTTTATGTGGTTCAATCTGTTTGAAAAAGATAAAGTAGTGCAGATGAGGAATATTTAAGGAGATACATAATTATCTTTGTTATCACCCTTTATGCCGAGATTAAACCAGACATTGGCGGACTCTTTTAAAAGTTACGCTACTTAACAGGACTAAACACATATGCAACATTACAGATTCTTTTATCTGTAGTCTTTTCTTTTTAAACAATGTTTGCTTTTGTTTTAGTGTGAAAATGCATAAACATATTAGAAGAAGCAGAGATAACCACTACTTCCTATAACCTTACTTGGTTATTCACATGGATGCTGGTTTATGCTTAGGTCATCACTACGGTCGCAAATGTCATGGCTTTCAATGCCACACTCACATGTTTTGGCATTTTACCAAAGAGGAACCTTACCATGCTTGTTAAGTAGCATTATGACTTAAACATGTGAGTGACCATCTGCACAATGGGAATTTAATTAGGGGTGCGACTAATGATTATTTTGCAAATCGATTAATCTGTCAATTATTTTTTTTCGATGAATCAATTAATCTGATAGAAAAAGGTTCTTTAAAGAAGATTTTTTATAAAATTATAGCAGGTGAAACTAAAACTTTTCTACATGAGGAGTTCTGGATCAAGCATATTGATAGACAAAATATTTTTTCATCTTAAATGCAAAAGGTTTACATATATATATACTTATTTTTTTTTTTTTACAATTTTGGTATAATTAGTGCTCTAAACGGGTCAATCTCTCAGCTAAAGGCATGTTTTAGAGTCTCTATACTCCAGTTAACAGTTAATCAATAACTAAATTAGTTGACGATTATTTCAATAATCGATTAATCCGATTAATTGTTTCAGCCCTATATGTAATGTAAAACGATTTGTTTGCATTTAATTATTACAAATAACTTCAACCTAAAACAATGAAGCCAAGTCTTTTGGGCTCACTCTGGGTTTTGAATATATCCATACTCTAATTAAAACAGATGTGTTAAAACCCAAGAAAATCCCCATCTAAAATGCACAAGAATGGAAACTGCTAATAATGAATGAACCATATAATTGTTTGAATAGCCTTTTATTACCGAGTAACAGAACTTGTGCAACTATATTTTCTATTAATTTTTGAAATGACCAGCCCTCTCACCTTAAAAAAAAAAATGCACATGCACAACCCTGTACCCGCTCCCGAGAGGGAACGCCTATTAAACGCGTGCGAGAGCGTGCACAAGCCCATGTCTACTTGTACATGCGCTGTTTGACAGTTGCTGTTTGAATCGCTCAAACAAGCTTACTTTCCAAAAGAAGATTTGCAATTTTTCCACTAAATCAGAGTCACCACCAGTAAGTAAAAAATGGGGATGAGCACGTAGGACGGCCTTACGTAAGCATATCCCCAGAATGATTGACAATTAGGAGGACCAGTTATTTAGATGATCCACCCGGGAAGAGAAAATCCTCCACTATACCTTTAAGTATCTTTTAAAAGTTAAGTCCACAAGAGTAGAGCTTAAAAATAATTTGTAAAACTATAATAAAAAATGTTTTACACTGAATGCAAAATATTTGAAATTATCTTTAATTTGATTATAGTTTATATATTTTTTTGACATAATTTAGACTTAAAGGTTAAGTCTAAGTGATTTATATCATTGAAAGATTTAGGTTCTTTTGATCAAGCTTCTTTTGACTGAAAGTAGTCAGTGATGAAAACGAGTAAAAGTCTCCCAATAGTGTAAAGTGGGCATAAAGCTGGGTGGTAGTAACTCCTGAGGCTCTCTGCATAACCTCAGGCGTACCCAGAGGACAACCGTACATCTTAGCAATCCCACCGAAGTAAGAAAACCCAGTAGAGGTGTGGATTGCATCACATAACACCAAACATTATAACATCCTTTGTAAAGTACTGGTTCCCAATCTCTCCTAGTTGCTGCATTGCTTTCCAGGATTTACTTCAGTCAACCAAATGTTATATAGACAGTATCAGTATTTTCCAAAAGCTTTAGTCATTATTTCCATGTTTGAAAATCGACAAACTTCTCTGTTTCATCCAACATGAACTTATAACATGAAACCAAACTATACTGTAGCTTGTTGCATACTGTAACTTTAAAACAGCATGTGAAAAAGACCGACAGGTTAGAACTTCGTTTTTTTTTGTGCATTTCCCTGTAGTTTATCATTAATCGTCATGTTATCAGGTTAAGTTCAGGTTGTCAAAAAACGAACACAAAAAAAAACGTATGCAGTTGAGGGGAAGGCATTGCACAAGACAGCATGTTTGGTTTCCGCGATTTATGTTGCTGAACTTGCTTTTGTCGTATGGTTCGGGGCACAGCTCTCTGGGGAAGTTAGGTGGTTTCCTGTGTCTGGGTCTCACGCCTCTAGCACCCCTCTTGTGCAGCATGCAGCTAAATGCTGCACCAATTGGTCACAACCCTGAATAACATATATTCACACATCTACTTTATGTGTCCTTTAGTTTTAGATATCCTTTATACATCTAAAACTTGGCGGCTTGGAATAACAGGAGTAAAAATAAACACTCTTGAGGCAAAAACTAAAAACAGGTAAAGGGAGAAGCAAAAAAAAAAAAAAGAAACATGTGAGGCGCTTTACTTCTGGGTGTGTGGAACTGGTTACTGATAAGTGATGCAATGTGGTTTGAATACAAACTCAGAAATGTGGACCAGCAGGCAGTTTCAGATGTCACTGGCGGCCTGTTTGTCTCTTTTTGGGGTCGTGACTCATTTGCTGTCAACAGTAATGTCAACATCTCAGATAAAAAAAAAAAATATCAAATTCTCTGCAGCGCAAAGAGGCGTTTTCTGTGTCAAATAGAAATGTTAACTTAATCAGCTCAGCTTTTCAAAAGGACCCTATTAAACCAGATTATTGTTCCTAACTGTTAATGAGGAGGTACTGAGGATGATGGCAGGGCAAAACAAAGCAGCAGAATGTGTAATGTATAGGAGGGTCATTTTGTGAAGGCAAAATTCTAAGGTGCTTTTAGAGAGAAAGAGCTCTATGGCATTCACATATTAGAAAAAAATAAAACCTATATGTTTTCTGTTTTTTTTACCTATGACCTGAATTTTTTTAAAGGTATAGTGGAGGATATTTTTTTTTTTGCCGGGTGGATCATCTAAATAAGTGGTCGTCCTAACTGTCAATCATTCTGGTGCTCTGTTTAAATAAAGGCCATCCCACGTGCTCATCACTAGGTAGCTTCTTTTTGCGCGCATACCCACTTTCAGACATATATATGTGGTGAGCTACGGTTTCAGCCAGTCACTGAAGCTTGCCTTTCTCACAGAGGTTCTTTGAAAATCAAAAAAGTTTTTACAAATTGTTTGAGAAGAGAAAGGCCTCAGAAGAGAGAAACAAGACGTGTGTTTCTCGGACATTCGTTCACGCCATGGTGTTCACTGAAAGCACAGGTTGGGCTTCCCACTGATGCTTCAGTTGCCAAGTTTCTTCTCGACAGGCAAACTTAAGCATTTTTGGAGAAATCCATTTTGGCATCAGGGCTAGTAAATCGACCTCTATATTTTAACTTTCCGGGGAAGACATGGTTATTTATTTTGCCTTCTGTGTGCTCACGGACGCGTTTAATAGGTCTTCCCTCTTGGCAGCAGGTACAAGGTTGTGCATGTGCATTTTTTTTTAAAGTGGAGAGCGTAAGCCATTTCAAAAAAGTCGCGAAAATCCACCACAATAAGTTTTTTAAAAATAACAACAAAACAGGAACAACCTATTCCAGCAAATGTTTTGCTCCATATTCCTGATTCTAATAAAGAAATAAAACCCTAGGTTGGTCAGTACATATTTATCTTTTTGTGCATTTAGCATAACAAGACACTGCATTGGATAAAACTTAAACCAGAGCAAAGCTGGAAAGCAGTAGCATTAAGCTGGTCAAAATTGGGCCTGATAGGAGACAAAGCACAACCATGATGTTTAGCTAATGCCCTGATGTTTTTTAATTTTCAAAAGTTACTGTTCCGTTGGACTTTTTAGAACATGTTAGTCATTTCTACCTTTTAGAACCCAGATAATTTTATACGAAGTAAATGTGGAAGAAGAAGCTTCAGATTACTTCAAACCTTCAGCCCTAATATTTTTGGTTTAAAGACGTTTCCAGTTTTTGCTCCAGCTCTGAAATCAACTTAAGGAAAAAAAGATGATGGATGACACAGATGCACAAATACCACTGAAAAGCTTGGAAACATTAGCTATGGCTTCGTCGGTAAAGATTTCTTTTGACTTTCTTTTGGGCTCGATGCTGCTTCCTCCGTCACACTTCAGCGTGCCCCTGGGCAAGGCACCTAACCCCATGAATCCGTATTGGTCTACAAATGTGTCAAAGTTGTCGAGGACCGAGAGTAAATGTGACCCTTCTTTGAAACACTTTCAGTCGTCAATGTGACTGCAGAGGTGCAATATAAAATTATTTTTTGAGTGGGAATGTGAGGGATGTGTCATCACACGTGCCTGGTAGCGTAAGCATGACTAACCTTCAGTCAGATCAATGGATGAAACAGATCACAGTAATTAGGCTATTTAAAACAGTCCCTGCTGAAACTAAAAACCAGCTGGTTCTATTAATAACCAAGCAGGGATTTATATGCATGAAAAAAAAGTGACTTCTACATGGATTCATTGAATGGTGGTTGATATCAATATGATGCACCCCGCTATCAATAGGGATAAACGACAGGTGTGGAATTCACCGGAAAACTGGAGAGCGAAACTTAAGACAGAGAAAAGGAAAAATAGGAGTGTCAGGCTTTTTTGTTCCTCCTCCGAATGCAGCTTCTAACACCCACTTTCCATGGAAACATTCCTTCTACACCCATGGCAACATCCAACTTCTCTAAACTCATGAAATGTTCCTGTTCTCACACAGCTCCAAGCCTCTTTACCTCAATTAGTCTCTCAAACATGTGGGCCAGCGGCAGGAAGGAGATGAGGCAATCATCCTGATTTGGAAAAATTACTTTCTGCAAGACACACAAGGAAGGATGCGGTTAGGTTATGTTCACAAGATAATACCAAACAGTGCTTAGTAAAAAAAGGATTTTTCACTCACATCTGTGACTTTAAGGAATCCTGCAAAATCTGCCACTACGTTTCCATGAGTGAGCATGACCCCTTTGGGGTTTCCTGGGAAGGAAGACAGACAAGTGATGACAAAGAGGATCTAAATGTCATTTATGTTAGTTTTTTTTTTCCATGTATCATTTCCAGAAGACACTTTACTTTAAACTGCATTAATTAGATTTGACTGACAGCTTAATTGTGTGATGGGTAACGCCCTAAGAAGTGCGGTAAAAGCACGACGATCCAAGCAGATGACATTTCAACAGAACTCTACCAACATTTCAGGTGCAGGGAGTTCTTTTTAGCTCAGGATCACGTGTCATATTTCAATAAGACTGATCTTTAAGGTGTGGCCATTAAATTACACTGAAACCCATAATCATTGCAACAGGTAAAAAACATGGGTCAATTATACTAGATGAAAATTGCACTAAAATAGATGCCATATAAATAACATAAACAAGAGGACACCAAAACATAAAATACTACAGCTACCATCCTATCTTTCTGATATTAATCAAACTCACTTTGGATCAGTTTTATACACAGAAGAACAAATTTCCAGTTTTATCATTTGTTTTAATATTGTGCTGTAATAATAAATAATTGAACTTTATTGATCTCCCACTGGAGAAATCTACCTCTGCATTTAACTCCTCCTCTTGGGGAGCAGTGGGCTGCCGTCATAGGGCGCCCAGGGAGCAGTGTGGGGTTAAGGGTCTTGCTCAGAGACCCAGAGTGGCAGACTGTGGGAGTGGGACTTGAACTCAGAACCTCAGGATTCAAAGCTCTATTCCCCTAACTAACCTAGGAACCTCTTAAAAACAAGCTTCTTCTAACATCACATTTGGCTGAGGTCAGCTGATCAAAGATCTCTTAAATACAATTAGTTGGTTTTTTGACTTTATGCACATGATTTAAATACATATCCTCCAACTGGACAAGAGACTTTGTTACAGTAAAGTAAAAAAAAAGATGAGTCCAGCCCTATTAGTTGTTCACATTAGGCACGGACCTGCAGTATCACCATTATATTCTCAATTGAAACCCAGAGGAATCAATTCAGAGCAAAATCCAATAGTTGAGAAGTAAACACCGTATCAAAAGTCATGTTGAAATTGACAAATAGAGTAATAGAAGAATAAGCATGTACCGGTATTCTTTTATTTATTCCATTTTAAAAATGTTTAATCTACAGTATTTAATTTGAACATATTCCTACAGGTTAAAAGGGTGATGAGTGTGCACTCCACTGTTTTCTTCAACTCTTTTTTATCAATAGCAACATCCCTCATGACCTATAGGGCTTTAGAATGCAACTAATTCTACCAAAATGTGAAGCTGCAAACATTTTACTCATTCATTGTAAAACATGAAAGATAAAAACCCTGCTGCTCTTAATTGTTTGAGTTGGAATCCAACAGCTCAAACAAGTGACTTTAAGGATTCCCCTTTAGTAAAGTTATGCCCTGCAGCTGCCAGCAATTGCAATATCCGACAAACAAGGGAGTCGATGTCGCAACAAGAATGGAAAGAAGTTTGCCGGAAACACTGGATGATGTCTGGAAAACAAAACCTAAAGCTGGAGCACCTGCAGTTGCCCTTTAATGTCAGAAGAAGGCGATGTTTACAACGGTGGAAGCTTCTGCTGTAAACTGACACCAGACGGGTCCTCAGATGACCTCTTTGTTAGTTTGAGCGGTTGGCGCTGCTGTGGGCTGCCGTCCCTAAAAAGCAGCAGCGCTTTATCTCTGACATGAACGGCCTGCTGTCTGACATGATACAACATGCAGGCAGATGAATTCAGACTCAACGTTTTATTTAAGGAGGGGCAAACATGTCTCTCACTACCAGATCATTCTGCTGCATTGAACACATCTCGTTTTAACTTTACCCTGTAAAGTAGGAGATTATCTCTTATTGCTCTTTAAATCATCATTTTATTTAGTCACTATAGCATATTTCTGTGACTTGGTCTGCTGTAAAGTAAGCACAAATTATTAAACCAATCTTATGGTTTCTCAAGTCTTCTGAGGGAACAGGACACTCCCATGTAAGATATTAGATATGAGCGACATAAACCTTGTTAAAAAAAGAACTGCGTGCGATCCAGCAAATGCTCCAGCCATTAATTTATGCATACGGACTGTTATTCAGCAGGGTTGGTGACACGCACTTTTCAATATGAGAAAAAGTGTCAACATGAAGAAAACAAAGGGCAGCTGTGTATCAGGCTACTTCCTCCTCCATCTACCACATAAGCAATAAGCACCCCAGCTTCCAGGTGCAAACTAATATTACCGTGCATGCTTAAGAGAAATAGCTGGATCATATATCTTATGCCTTAAATGTAGTCACATTGCAATCTCAAGCTACAATCCATTTTATTGGGATTTACATCACAGACTAACACACAAATTAGGGTCAAAATGTGATGTGGAAGTAATAATTATTAAAAGGTATAGTGGAGGATTTTTGCGAATTTTTGAAAAGATCTGCCCTCTCCACTAAAAAAAAAGTACATGCACAACCCTGTACCTGTTCCCGAGAGGGGAGGCTTATTAAACGCGTGCAAGATCATGCATGAGCCCATTTCTCCTCATGCATGCACTGGTTAAAAGTTGCTGTTTGCATCGCTCATACAAGCCTATTTTTTCAAAAGAAGATTTGCAATTTTTCCACTATGTCAGTGAAAACGGGGACAAGCACGTAGGACGGCCTTACGTAAACATATCACCAGAATGGTTGACATTTAGGAGGACCACTTATTTAAATGATCCACCCGGAAAAAGAACATCCTCCACTATACCTTTAAATGTATTTAACAAATTATATTTTGTCTGCTTCAGTCAAAGTCTAGATCTTAAATCTTAAAATCTGCATCAAGGCTTCACCATTCATACTCAAAAGTCATTTTCTTGTACAGCATGACTGAGTTTTTACCATTTTTTTAGACCAAAAAAACTAAACAAAACAAAACAAAAACAAAAAAGGGGCAAGTCTAAAATATGCATACCTGAAAAAAAACATAGTGCCTTAATTTCTGCAAAATTTGGTTCTAAAAGAATTCATTAACTGGAAGCTGAATACAAATGTCAAAAGTACTCCACACGTTTTAGATTTGTACATGTAAAGAAAGAAAACCCATTTTTTTATTTTGACTTCACTATTATGCACTACTGTGTGTTAGTCTAAACATAAATCTTAATAAAATAGAGTGAGGCTGTAGTGTGAAAAAACTGTGGTTATTCCCCCCCCCGTCTTTTGTTCTTTTCAAACTATTACTCTGCATAACATGCAACATATGCTGCATCAAATATTACCTGTCGTCCCACTGGTGAAACACACAATAGACAGGTCGTCAGGCGCTGGTGGCTGTAGAAGCAAACAAAACAAACATGCTTTGTCAGAAAATATGGAACTAAACCTTTACAAGATAGTACGCTTTTCAGCTGCAGCAAAACAATGCTAGAAGTAGGAAACATAAGTTGCTTCCTAATGGTTTTCATGCAAATTATATTAAAAGTTCATTCAGTGTCACATTTAATATTTATAAAACTCATCAAATAAAGTATACACTCATCGGCCACTTTATTAGGTACACCTGTCCAACTGCTTGTTAACACTTAATTTCTAAGCAGCCAATCACATGGCGGCAACTCAGTGCATTTAGGCATGTAGACATGGTCAAGACAATCTCCTGCAGTTCAAACGGAGCATCAGTATGGGGAAGAAAGGTGATTTGAGTGACTTTGAACGTGGCATGATTGTTGGTGCCAGAAGGGCTGGTCTGAGTATTTCAGAAACTGCTGATCTACTGGGATTTTCACGCACAACCATCTCTAGGGTTTACAGAGAATGGTTTGAAAAAGAAAAAACATCCAGTGAGCGGCAGTTCTGTGGGCGGAAATGCCTTGTTGATGCCAGAGGTCAGAGGAGAATGGCCAGACTGGTTCGAGCTGATAGAAGGGCAACAGTGACTCAAATAACCACCCGTTACAACCAAGGTGGGCAGAAGAGCATCTCTGAACGCACAGTACGTCGAACTTTGAGGCAGATGGGCTACAGCAGCAGAAGACCACACCGGGTGCCACTCCTTTCAGCTAAGAACAGGAAACTGAGGCTACAGTTTGCACAAGCTCATCGAAATTGGACAATAGAAGATTGGAAAAACGTTGCCTGGTCTGATGAGTCTCGATTTCTGCTGCGACATTCGGATGGTAGGGTCAGAATTTGGCGTCTACAACATGAAAGCATGGATCCATCCTGCCTTGTATCAACGGTTCAGGCTGGTGGTGGTGGTGTCATGGTGTGGGGAATATTTTCTTGGCACCCTTTGGGCCCCTTGGTACCAATTGAGCATCGTTGCAACGCCACAGCCTACCAGAGTATTGTTGCTGACCATGTCCATCCCTTTATGACCACAATGTACCCAACTTCTGATGGCTACTTTCAGCAGGATAATGCGCCATGTCATAAAGCTGGAATCATCTCAGACTGGTTTCTTGAACATGACAATGAGTTCACTGTACTCAAATGGCCTCCACAGTCACCAGATCTCAATCCAATAGAGCATCTTTGGGATGTGGTGGAACGGGAGATTCGCATCATGGATGTGCAGCCGACAAATCTGCGGCAACTATGTGATGCCATCATGTCAATATGGACCAAACTCCCTGAGGAATGCTTCCAGCACCTTATTGAATCTATGCCATGAAGAATTGAGGCAGTTCTGAAGGCAAAAGGGGGTCCAACCCGTTACTAGCATGGGGTACCTAATAAAATGGCCGGTGAGTGTATAGCTGTCATTTCTGTCTCTCTTATTGTGCACCTACAGCATGCATGCCCAAAGTCGGTCCTTGAGGGCCGCTGTCCTGCAGGTTTAGAGGTTTACCTGCTCCAGCACAGCTGATTTTCATTGCTAGCTGGTTACAAGGCTTTTTACTAATCTGCAATCATTTGAATCAGCTGTCCTTAAGCACATAAACCTCTAAAATCTGCAGGGAAGCGGCCCTCGACCGACTTTGGGCATACACATAAAGGTGCACAAGGGGTTAATGTTGAGTTTTAACCTCTCATTGTTCCATGTTTATCCTGTCAACAGACCGCTTAAACAGGTGTAACAGCTGTCAAAATAAACTCTTTTAACAACTTTCAATAAGTATTATCTACAGGAGAACATACAGGACAAGGTAAAAATAAAATAATTATATAAATAGCTCAAACAAGATGATTTTTTTTTTTTGTTGGTCTAAGAATTCCTCACATGTAAGAAAACCAACAATGTGTACAGAAGTTTTTTCTTTAACTTACGGTAGGTTTTCTGTAGTGCTCTCTGCCCAGAGCCTGAAAGAGCAAACAAACGTAAAGCATTAAGGTGAAACTGTGACATTTGACATGCTTAGAATTTTCTTATGTTTTCCTCAGAGGGTGAAATCCAAGCATTTGTAGAAACATGCGGGCCTCTATTTTTGTGCGACTATAATGCACCTGATCTTACACAGAAATGTTGATAGTTAAACAAATTTTTTTTTTCAGATTTGAGAGATTCTGTTTCATTTGGTCTTAGCTCTTAACATACTGTGTATCTTTAATGTCAGTGTTTTTTTTTCTCTGAATATCACCGTATAAATCTCTACACCCACTGACTGCACTGTCTAACATGTTAGCTTGTTTTAATTCTAAGGAATGAACAGAACTGACACATTCTTTTAAACATGTAACCTTGGTAACAAATGTATGTGTTAGTTCAGTTTTGTTAACTTTTAAAGGCCTTGCATGTGTTGGATTCTGTAAGGCAAGGGATCTGATAAACACCTTTAAAGCATAAGCTCATCCTGTTTACTCATGTCTGACTTGATGAAATCTTAACATCTGATTGTTTTGACTGTCTTTTTCGGCATGCTTCTTTGTCTCTTTGTTTGAGAGATTTTTCACTGTAACTAGACTATAAAAGGTATGATCTAGCCTGCAGGCACAGTTGCAGGAAGTCACCCAAATGCTGCTTTTCCACGGCCCACATTTTTGACACGCTAAGAACATCAAGGCATTGAGACCATTCCTTAAAACTACAAATGCTTTGACTCTTTGCCTGTAACTTTTAACAGGTTATAGTTACTATTCCTTTCAAAATGTACACAGTTTGGTGCATTTCGGTGTTTGGCCCTGAAGAACAATGCTGTTTGTTTCACCAGATTTACATTAGGCCGTTCTTCCTGATGGGAAAAGAGCAGAACGTAAAATAAACTAACATGAATTAAAGCTGAATGAAATTAAAAATTTTAATAGGGAGCATAAACAAAGGATTAGCCTGGGGTTATCCGAAAAGAGTGCTTAATTAAAAACAGGAGAAAACCAGCTTAGTGCTAAAAAACAATGTCCTCCATGATAATAGTGGCTGTTTTGTATCAAACTGAACTGTTTCTTATCCCACATGAGAAAATATGTCTGTAAATAAAAAAAATAAGCAGACACTAATTTAATAAGAACAGCTATATCAGGAGTTGTTCAATTGGGTGGATTTATCTTCCTTTGTGAATAGCTTTTGGGTTAATTCTGTGTCAGTTAGACTCGTTGTCAAAAAAATAAAAAAAAAGGAACAGTTTTAAGTGATGTTCTTTTAAAAAGAGCAAAATAAAAACAACAACTATAAACAGTCAATACCCTGTCGTACAGTAAACTGCTTGCATATTTTAGATTTTAATGCTTTAAATAGAGATGTCCCGATCCAGGTTTTTGCACTTCCGATCCGATACCGATATTGTTTTTGGACTTCCGATCCGATACCAATACTGGCCGATACCAGCCTATCCGAGCATGTATTTAAGTTTAAGTTAAAGTATTTAGCCTTAGTTGTAAGACTCATGTTGAAAAGGGTTTTAGTACTCTTGATAACATTTGGCCAGCTAAATTAGGTGAGATTGAATAAAACACAATGCTTGGTAACAACAAACTTACCTGTTTATTAAGAAATAAACACAAACTGGACAAAATTACGAATAGCAATCTGAAATTGCACAGTGAGCAGTAAAACCGTAAAAAGTTAAAGGTGCAAGTATTACTGTAAGTTTTAATAAAAATGCAAAACAGGGAAACACTGGCGCAAAATAGTGGAATGGATCGTTTCAATCGGCGAAACTGGAAAATACGGACCGTATTTTTTTTTAAAAACTGGATCGGCAGTCTGGATCGGCATTTTACATGCTTTGCCGATACGCATTTCTTTGCCAATATCGGCGTCCCTAGCTTTAAACCATTGTCCCATTTACACTCTGAGTATTTAAAGAGAAGCCCAGGATCGTTTACACAGAAAGATCAGTGGGACGTTGCCTCTCAGAATTTCCAGAATGTGAATCAACAAAAAAAAAAAAAAAAAAAGAAAGATTAAAATAATTGGCTAATAAAGTGACCATTACTGAAATATTATTATAACTCCTACACACTACAATGACTTTTCAAATGCAGGTTAGAATGCCCCAGGACCTTGTCTGATTTAATACTAGATCAGATGTTGTGTAAAATATTAATAATAAATAAAGGGGCAGTTCAACTCTGTAAGCCATTTTAAGTCATTTTAAACCTCATATATATATATATATATATATATATTAGGGGTGGAACGGTTCACAAAATCCACGGTTCGGTTCGGTTCACGGTTTCGTGGTCACAGTTTTCGGTTCGGTTCGGTATATGTTGATTGTTACACCGAAATCCCATAAAAATTTATGAAAAAAAAAATAAAAAAATTATGAATTGTAATTATTTTTAATGATCCGTGGAAACCCCGGATAATTTCTGCTTTGAATTTAATCATCTCGCGCATGCCCTCTACGATCTACAAGGAACTCAGAGCGGAGTGGACGGGAGCCACAGTGGAGAATGAATGCTTTGCTTTGTGCAGGTGGTCTGGAGCAGAGTAATTCGGATTTCGGGGTTAGCATGACATGTTGGTCATGTTGCTGTTAGCATAAACAAAACGTGTTGCACAATGCTTGCACACTGTTGCACTTTTATCCACAACTTTCTTTCTGCCGTCATCGTAGGTCACTCTAAATGCAAAGCGGTCCCATACAGCAGACCTATAAAATGCTGCTGGCGCGTCTTTCTGCTACACCCGGGTACGCTGCTTCGCTTCTTCTTCTTCTTGTTTACTACTGGTGGTTGGCTTTGGTCGCAGTACCGCCACCTTCTGCTCTGGAGTGTAAACGCTATGTAACTATGAGAAAAAGGAGCTGCGCATGAACCGAACGCAACACACGTGAACCGAACTGAGACAGTCGAACCGAACGGTTCGGACGGTTTTCATAAACCGTCCCATCCAATATATTATATATATATATATATATATATATATATATATATATATATATATATATATATATATATATATATATATATATATATATACACTATATTGCCAAAAGTATTTGCTCACCCATCCAAATTATTGGAATCAGGTGTTCCAATCACTTCCATGGCCACAGGTGTATAAATTCAAGCAACTAGGCATGCAGACTGTTTTTACAAACATTTGTGAAAGAATGGGTCGCTCTCAGGAGCTCAGTGAATTCCAGCGTGGAACTGTGATAGGATGCCACCTGTGCAACAAATCCAGTCGTGAAATTTCCTCGCTCCTAAATATTCCACAGTCAACTGTCAGCTGTATTATAAGAAAATGGAAGTGTTTGGGAACGACAGCAACTCAGCCACGAAGTGGTAGGCCACGTAAACTGACGGAGCGGGGTCAGCGGATGCTGACGCGCATAGTGCGAAGAGGTCGCCAACTTTCTGCAGAGTCAATCACTACAGACCTCCAAACTTCATGTGGCCTTCAGATTAGCTCAAGAACAGTGCGCAGAGAGCTTCATGGAATGGGTTTCCATGGTCGAGCAGCTGCATCCAAGCCATACATCACCAAGTGCAATGCAAAGCGTCGGATGCGGTGGTGTAAAGCACGCCGCCACTGGACTCTAGAGCAGTGGAGACGCGTTCTCTGGAGTGACGAATCGCGCTTCTCCATCTGGCAATCTGATGGACGGGTCTGGGTTTGGCGGTTGCCAGGAGAACGGTACTTGTCTGACTGCATTGTGCCAAGTGTAAAGTTTGGTGGAGGGGGGATTATGGTGTGGGGTTGTTTTTCAGGAGCTGGGCTTGGCCCCTTAGTTCCAGTGAAAGGAACTCTGAATGCTTCAGCATACCAAGACATTTTGGACAATTCCATGCTCCCAACTTTGTGGGAACAGTTTGGAGCTGGCCCCTTCCTCTTCCAACATGACTGTGCACCAGTGCACAAAGCAAGGTCCATAAAGACATGGATGACAGAGTCTGGTGTGGATGAACTTGACTGGCCTGCACAGAGTCCTGACCTCAACCCGATAGAACACCTTTGGGATGAATTAGAGCGGAGACTGAGAGCCAGGCCTTCTCGTCCAACATCAGTGTGCGACCTCACAAATGCGCTTCTGGAAGAATGGTCAAAAATTCCCATAAACACACTCCTAAACCTTGTGGACAGCCTTCCCAGAAGAGTTGAAGCTGTTCTAGCTGCAAAGGGTGGACCGACGTCATATTGAACCCTATGGATTAGGAACGGGATGTCACTTAAGCTCATATGTGAGTCAAGGCAGGTGAGCAAATACTTTTGGCAATATAGTGTATATGCCTGTATATATATATATATATGCAGGCATATATATGCCTGTATATATATATATATATGCCTGTCATCATGCAGAATACATGCCTTCCTAGAGTAAATTGCAATTTTCATTATAGGTTAGGCTTTTTAGCCATGTGTTTTAGCTCCTTGAAAACCATGTTTCCAAATCTAACCTCTTCTCATGTGCATTAGATCATGTTGTATGCTAAAATTTATGGTGGTGGATGACATAACCAGGTTTTCAACATGCAAATATCTCAGCCAGAAATTATAAAACAAAGAACAAAGAAATGCTACAAGCACAATTAAAAAGGTTCACTCCAGAACCCTGAATAAATGAAGACACTAATCTAAATAAAAGCTAAATCAGTTTTAAGAACATATCTAGATTATCTGAGGATATTTAAGGGTTTTGAAGTCCAGATACTATAAGATAATTTCATTTAGGACTAAATGCCCCCTGGGCCTCCTCCCAGTGGGATATGACTGAAACACTTCCTGCATGTCATACCTCAACTTCCAGAAGTGCCTGCACATGGACACCACAACCCTTGCCACGTTCCTCGAGCTCCGAGCCAAAGGCATCCATCAGAATGATTCTCTGCAGCTTTGGTGTCTCCTTCCGCTCCACATTTTCCAAAAGAACCTGAGCTTTTTCCACTTTGTCGCAGATTACGGTGCAGATGTCAGCTGAAATGAAACAAGCACACAAGTGCAAACAGACCCTTGTGTGAATTTGAACAAAATAAGAAACAAAAAAGGAACAGAATACATGCAAAGTTGGAAAATGGTCAGAAACTGAACCTAAGAAACTTTTAGGATGTAGCAGAAAGAAACATTTATGCAACATCTCAAATGTTTTTTTTTTTATCTCACTGCTACCTTATTTGCTTTCAAGTCAAGACAACATACTTATAGTATATATTTATATTCATTTCTGAGGTACACAGTCATCCTTTGACACCATTTTCATTGCTGGGAGTTCAAACTCATTTCAGGAGCTGTTACTCAGATCAAGGTTGATCAATAAATACTAATCTGTTTCTCTTTATCATGGATCAGCTGACTGAATTATGATTTCTACGCTTTTCTCTCTTTAATATTTTCATTGCAGTCCTTTGCAACTACGACAATAAAGTGCAATGGAGTGCTTATGTGCAATATTTGGTCGGATGTTATATGACTTAGATTTTATTTGACATTTTGTTTACACAAGTGTAAAACAAAAATACATTTAGTTTGGAACAGCTTTCTGCAGCCTTGAAAAATAATAAAACAATTACTTAATATATGAAAACGGTGATATAAATATGACTGTAAATTTACAGTTCTAACATTTTTTTTTTTATATTTACCATGCACCATGCATACTGATAATATATTTCAGCATTTCCATGGACTTCAAGTGGCCTTCGTGCCGTGAAGCGTATCTTTAGCAGCCTAGACAGTTGTGGGGGCAAAATGCATGAAGGGAAAATGGTGGTAAATTAGCACTGTGTTATCAGTGATAGTATTTCAGCAATATTTACAGTTTATTAGGCAGCCATTGGATAGCATTAGGTCTGCAACTAAGAATTATTTAGCAAATCGATCTGTTGATTATTTTTTTGATTAATAATCAGATATCCAAAGGTTCCTTAATAAAGACTTTTTAATTAAATTAAACTGGGTAAAACTGAAACTTTTCCACTTGAGGAGTTCTGATGAAGCATATTAACAGACAAAAAGGTTTTGTTATGTTAATTACAAATGGTTTACATAGTTTTTTTTTAGAATCTGGTATAATTACTGCTCTAAATGTTTTTTTTGTCAGCTAAGGGCATGTTTTAGAGTCTCTACACTCCAGTTAATGATGAATAGATTACTAAATTAGTTAACTATTATTTCATCCATCCATCCATCCATCCATCCATTCATCCATCCATCCATCCATCCATCCATCCATCCATCCATCCATCCATCCATCCATCCATCCATCCATCCATCCATCCATCCATCCATCATGCTTATCCCAAGCAAGGTGTGCTGTTGCCCATCTCCAGCTGTCTACGGGCAAAAGGCGGACAGGCCGCCGGTCCATCGCAGTATTTAAAATAATCAATTAATCCAATTAATCAGATGAATTGTTTCAGCCCTAGATAGCATGATGAAAATATCAATGCAATATGTTTTAGGTCATTTTCGCTAAGTTCCTTTTCTATATATCTAATTTCTTTCTTTCCTTTAAGGGATATAAGGCCTTTAAACATTTCATAACACCTTCATAATCACAATAAACTATAATGGTGAAATTTGTGCGTAAATGAGGGATTTGACTCCAGTTTTTTCATCGCCCACATTGTAAACAGTATGTAGATATTCGCTTAAAAGGATGTAAAGACATGGTTAAACAAGGACTATGGTGTGATGTACGAATGCGTATGTGCTGCCTATCTTATTCCTACTGAACAAAAGAGGGAAGTCGGTGAGCGATGTTAGCCGCTCTTCTTTTGGAACCAGATCTGTTCAGGTTGGTGGATGGAAGGAAGCTCAGTCTGATGAATCTCTCTGTCCAACTTATTGTTTTTTGCTATCTGGACTTTTCCTGTTTTGTTGTTGAGCCAACAAAAAGGATGTGCACAAAATGTACTAAATAATGGTGGTTTATAAGCAGAGCAGCTTACTTGGAGAAGGCTGAACCTCATAAGTGGCTGCAGGAAGAACATTGCTAGTCATTGCTAGGCCGCTTTACAAATAGTATCCATGTGCAACAACCACCTCAGGTATCTAGAAGGGTTGCTTTCTATAAAACCTAAGCGCTTCACTTTCTAAAGGCTATTTGCAGCTGAAGCAATAGTATTTTATTGGTCTATGACACTGTTAAGTTAGTATATAGTCTCTTTTATTTAAGGAAAAATTTGGGCTAATGTTAGTTGTAGGGCTTTAATGCAGGCAAAATCTGTTTCTAAATTGATTTAAATATATGCACAATATAAAATAAAAAATGTAAGACGTCATATTATTTATTAAAGTTGAGGTGAAATTAGAAATGAAGCTACGTAGGTATATTTCAAACTGCAATGATTAGAGTTTAAGTTTCTATATGGCTTGATTGTGTGTGTTCTTACCAGTGTTAATGATAAACCGTATAGCGTCTGCACCAAGCGTGTCATAAAGCGGAACCACCACCATGGAGTAGGTGTAACAAGCCAACTCTGAGATGATCCACTGAAATCAGACAAGGCAAAATTCTTTCATAAGTTTAAAGTTCTGATAGGAATAATCAGGCAAATCACAAGAGATGTATGACGATAGGAGAGGACAGAGGAGCAGTCACCTCAGGCCTGTTCTGTGCAAACACTCCAATGAACTGGCTGGGGTTGGGTTGGCAGCCCTGGTGCAGAAGGCCCGATCCCAGATGCTCTGCCCGGGCACTAACCTGTCAAATGAGGAGAGGATATTTGGTTAGAAAAAGATTTTTAAAAAAATGAAGAAAATACTAATGCAAATGACATGTTTTCATAATGATCAATTAGGATTGCTGTTATGGTAAAGATATTTCAAATAATTTTGGTACCAGGGCTTGAAACATTTCTGTAATGAAAGAAACTAATATGGAAGTCAATCTGTAAACTGATAGACTGCCCTATAACTCGCTGTAATTGTGAAACCAAAACAAGGAGATAATTTGAAGGTGAACATTAAATCTATTTTCTATTTTCCCCATTTGATTCATTTCACACTGATTCCCTTACAGAAAGGCCTCTTTCTAAATGTAAAAACAGGCAGGTCTGGATTTGTGCTGTTGCTCTGGGAAAAGCGAGACACAAGGTAAATATTCTTCCAGTCATCATTTTCCAGAGAGACAGGATATCACAGAAAAATTTCGACGTTGTGTCAACTTAAGAAAAAAAAAAAATAGATCATACTTGCTGGGATGTTGAAATCTCTTTGATATTTCATGATGGGAAAAAAAAACAAATCATGTCTGAGCTAAAGAAAAAAACTCTAAATTTGAGCCCAGTTTGTGGAAATGCCGACAGGAAACAAAGGATCATCATGTGTACCTGTCGTGATATGTCTCAAATTTTTTTGAAATGATGCCAGGGACTATAAACCACAGACAGAACCTAAAAATAAACTGAAGAAAAAAAATTTTATGAATCTATTTCAACAGCAATGATTGACTCTTATCTAAAGTCTTCTTTAGCTGTGTTTTCCATCAGTGATGTCATTTGCACAGCTTTTCCACGTTAACCGACTGCTGGTTTGTACGCTGTTTAATAACTGCACGGTGTTTTGTTTTCTAAAATGCATTTTACGCTACTTTTGACTTTTCTTCTTTTGATTTTTTTAAGTCTTGTGTGGAACTGCAGGCTTTCATTTACCACTTCGCTTTGCCAATGACACACCCGAATGCCCCAATGATGGGGTAATAACAAATATTTCGAGTCTATTAAACATGATCCATTCCTATAAACAAAAGTCATGTTGGCAATCCTACATGAGAAATAGCTGTTTGTTGGTACTAGGGCTAAAGAAAAATTTATCAGATTAATCGGGATTAATCGATTATTTAAATAAACGTCAACTAATTTAGTAAACGATTCATCGTTAACTGGAGTATAGAGCCTCTAAAACATGCCTTTAGCTGACAGAGCCACTGACATAGAACAGTAATTATACCGAAAATATGTAAATATTTTGCATTTAAGATAAAAAAAAAAAGCTTTTGTCTGCCAATATGCTCTATCCAGAAATAATCAAGGTGAAATTTTTTTGTTTCACCTGGTTTAATATAGTAAAAGAATCTTAAAGGAACCGTTTGCTTTCTGATAATTAATTGATTAATTGAAGAAATAATTGACAGATTAATCAATTTGCAAAATAATTGTTAGTGGCAGCCCTGGTTGGTGATATTAAACCTAGGCTTTATTTTTTTTTTCTAGTATTCAGTGTTATGTAAAGAAATTCTTTTATTTTATGTCGTGGAAATCAGCGCTCAGGTCTCAAAGCAAAAGGACAAAATTAAATATGTAGCACCTTTGACATTTATTGACAGGCCTCATGTGATATCTAAAAACTTAATTTGAAATGAAGTAACTGTGGAAGGATAATCCATATGTTTTTATGTTATAAAGATAACATTTATTAGATTATTTTTTTTCAGAAAGGGAACAAATTTCCCACAACAAGATTTTTTTTTTATTTAGTTATTTTTTTTTAACCATAATTGGGGAAAGTCTAACTATTCCCATGATGCCCTTTATCCTTGAGGTGAAAACATAATGTGAAATTGAGACCATTTTCCTTAACAGCTGTGATTTAGGAAAGACAGGACAATGTGTCATGTAAACTAGACCTTCAAAGTTCAAAAATAGCTATTAGGAAAAAAAACGCCTAACTACACATGTCCATATTCCAAATCAGAACAAAGTTAAAACAACCATCGTTCCAAATCTGCTACGGCAATTAATGCAGAATTCCTTTAACCCCTCTTTAATAATCCATTTAACCAATGCATTTAAAGGGAGCTGCATGACAGCATATTTTTGTTGAAATACGGAGGCAAAAATATGTGTTGGCTGATTCTGCTTCCTTAAACTAAAGTCAGAGCGTTGCACACATTTTTTAACAGAACAGAAATATCTTTAGTTGGTGAATCTACAGCATCTGTAACAAAGCCAAGCAGTAAACTGTTGACTGAACACTTCCCTCATCACAAGCATTTCAAAACATGACTGATAGATTTACAGCAACCATCAGTAAGTAAATCAAGTGAAATGACAATGTGTGCGTCATATTCTAAATTGGCTTAGCCACGCTGTAAAAATACGACCTGATGGGCGTGGCCAAAAGTGAGCGTACCTGAAAGACTAGATAGTTGCTCTTAATTTGCAGGTTTTATTGCTTGAAATGAGTGCTATAATTATTCTACACATGACTTTCACAACCACCTGAAACATATAAAAAATAGGTAAGAAAAAAAAGACTGAAAGATGGAAGCTGGAGAAAGCACTAAAAGAACCAATGGATTAAGCAAATGAAATAAGTATAAACTAAAATAAGAAAGCAGAAAAGAGGGACAGTAGTGCAGACTTGGAAAAGGTTTGTTATTTTCCTGTTAACTGTTGGACCTAACCTCTTTATAGGACAACCATTTGTAGGGCTGGTTTGGGAGTCGAGAGCCCAGGCAGGGTCCGTCACCTTTGGAATAAAGAAAAAAACAAATCAAATCAATATTCTTTTAAATTCACGTATAAATATTTCAAATATAGGTGCTGAAAACAGCTGGGTACTATAAGACATAACAAGGTTATACTATTTTTATTGTGTTATATTTTTACACAATAAAAATAATGTTTACATAAAATGCTTTTATCATTTATCAAGTGTTTTTTTTTTTTTTTAGCCAGCCATGCTTGGTCCCATTCTGATAATTTGAATAATAAGTAAATTTATCTACTAATCTTTTTTCTAGTTCTGAACTCTCAAGTAAATATTGTTGTTTGTGGGAAAGCTTAAACTATTCTAAATCACTTTACTTTGTTAATCAATGACCTGAAGAGTTTCCAGATTTCTGTCCATAAGATATTATATTTCTATATGTGCTACCACTGAGGTATTATAATTATATTATGGCTGCAACATCCATGTCTAGATTTGTAAATATGTTGGGGGACTACACTTTAAAGTTAAAAAATATTTAGTTAAAAGGGTGATCTCTTTGCCGTTAAAGAAAAAAAATTATTGTTTTGTCATGTTTCTTTTTTCTTTGAACTTACAAAGTAATGGCAGCTTAATTATATGGGCATGCATTCTGTTAAACTGTTGGAAAAAACAAAATCAAGTAACAAATCGAGACTCTTCATCACACTGATAACATCATACTTCCACCACATGGTGAATCTTCTAATAAAACAAATAAAACAAATAATCAACTCCAAAGTTTTTTAACTGCATTTTGCACCATATCTATTTATTTATTTTTAAACTGTTCTGAACTTCCACATCAATGCCTTTTTGCACCACCTCTCTCCCACACTGATTACATTTTGATCACTTATGCACTTTATGAATGGAAATGTTCCTTTTCACTGCTAAACTGCTGCTCATTCACTGTCGGAAAGCTGTATAAACCAAATTTTGGTTTGTATACACACTGTGTATACAGTTTGTCTAAATCTAAGTCTAATTAAAAGAGACAAAAAAGAAAATTTAATTAAAAAAAATGCTTTGCTGCATTGTTAATCAAATACAATACTCTGATGGAAGCTTTCCATATGCAAAAAGTGTGAAAACCTAATTTCTATGAGCTTGGAGATCAGTCTCACCCACCAGATATATGAAGACCCCTCTGGAAGACCTCATACATGGTCCTGGCATCGTCATGGTAATGAGTCAGCAACCTAGACGGGTCTCCCATCATGGATCTTCGACCTCCACCTTCATACTGGCAGAAACAGAAGCGTGAAAATACATTAAACTCATATCTCTGCTTCTTTAGATAATGGCTGAATGAGTGGAGAAGGATTTTTATACATTTCCTTGCAATCCATTCTTAATTTGTAAAGATTATCTGAGCTAACAGAGTTGTGTTTAATACCCAGTTTGTGAAGTCATGCAAATTGTTGTTATTTTTAGTTTGAGTTTATTCTCATGAAAATTGTTTACAGAAACATTCTGGTTAAATGACACAATAAGGTTGATGAGACTGTAAAGAATGGCAGGTTATAAAACTTTTGTTACCCTCATCGGGTAAAAAATGTAGCCTGGTGTCATTCAAAGTCCCGTAGGCCTGTTACACTGTGGCTCCACTGATTCAAACACCTTCACTTGAAAATATTGAAATCTAAGTCATCTTTTTCTTAAAATAAGTGCAATTGTTCTTGGATTGATGAGGTAAAAGAGACATCTTGCCAATGGAACAAGACAATTTACACCTAAAATAAGAAAAAACAATTGCATTGTCTTATTTCAAGTGCATATTATCTAATTATCTTATTTTAAGAGCAAATATACTCATTCCATTGGCAAACTATCTCATCTTTACCTACTCAAATTAGTGGTAAGTACGCTTAATTTAAAAAAAATTTGTTTGTTTTTCCAGTGTTGAAATGTTGACAAAGAAACTGGAAGCCACTGGGAGGTTTACACTGACAACAAAGAACTGCCAACCCCAACCGTCAGCGAGAGATCTGTGGTTAAAGGTGTAAAAAAATAAGTTGGGTGTGGATGGGCTGGTTTTGGTTTAACTAACCGTAGGTGAAATTCTTTAAACCAAAGTTGAGCCAGCCGAGGTATGTGGGTTTGTTAAGAAATGCATCATCATTACTAACCTGGAAAGTGATGAAGTGATAAAAGAAAAATATACGAAAACCAGGAAATGTTTAAACCTCCATTTCTTATTTCATTCCAGGACTTACAAAGCAGATCTCATATTGTGTCGGTGAATGTTCTACAGCTCTTGCTCATGATTGTGTTCACGTAAAGGTTGCATCTTCAAAACGACCGCTTAGCACTCTTCTATAAGTGGAACTCTCACCGGTACTTCCTCAGACTGGTGAAGGAGACTACAGGGAGGCTTGATGGGTCGAGGCCTGGTGGCAAACCAGTACGCCAACACAGCTGTCAAGGCCCCAATGCCCACCAAGGTGGAGGTCGGCAGCGAGCGGAAGAACTGGCCGAGCTCGTCCATCTCTGGTATCCTCAGGCCACTCATCATTTCCTGGGCCTGCATCTTCTCCATTAGAGTGGAACTCAATTCTGCAGATGGAGCACAGATTTTAAACCTGTTAGCTTGAAATCCAGTGATGCTGTGGTAAAGACCTCAAAATTTTTAACGCTACTTGCAATTTATTTTGTGTTAATGTGATCCCTTTTGCTTGGGCAGCAAGAAACAAAAACATACAACCTCTACACAAAGGGAGTGTCTACTTCTTTAAGGTTAAAAAAAGGACAAGAAGAAGTAGAAACCCCCAAACCACTGACACCTTGACTGCTGGCATAAGCAAGAAATTATTCATGTGCATAAAAAAAGTGTTGTATTGTCTTCAACTTTACGGAAAGATAAATCTTTACTATTTTGAAGCCTATCTCTGCACAAAAGACTGCTCTTTAAAATATAATAAATCCGTGACAATTCTTCAAGTTCTTATTTCAACTATCTGGATAATATAAGTCGATAAAATGCTGGCATCAGTTTGTTAAGCTTATTTATTTAAAAGTGAAGGAGAATGGTGTCCTGGAGGTTAGGTCAGGGCACCTGCTTTTTTTAAAAAGTTGCAAGTACCTGGTACAAACTGGGTTCACTCTGGGTCCCTGAACAACTTTGAAGCAATCTCTCATATTAAACAAGCATGCGGTGACAATAGAAAGAAGCAAGTGTTTGACTAGCTTAATGTTTATTCAAGTCTTGCTGTATTGGAACAGGATAATTTTTTTTGGTTTCCTATATTATCAGTACTTTCCTAAAGAAAAATGGTCCATCATCATTCAACTTTTAAAACTTCATTTATAATCAACATTTAACCTTAGATCCAATAATTATTGGCTCTTTTTAAAAGAACATGACTTAAACATCGCTTAAAGGCTATTTCTTCTTTTGAATTTTTGACAAAATAAGGAGAAAATAATTAGGCACTTTATATGAAACCATGAAATAAACCATATATTTTTTTTTTGTTCTGAGGTAGAGTTTTTGGGTTGATTTAAGCCGTTGTTCTGCTACAAACCCAAGTGCGGTTGAGCTTTAAGTCATGTACTAATGCCAAGATCTAGTCTCCTGCTGAATTCCTATAACTGCTAACCAGCTTTTTGAGTGTCTGCAATGTTATTTTAAGGATTGAACTTTGGTGAAGAGCTTCAAGTCTTACAGCTGGAGGGACTCCCATTTCCCAGCACAATATAACCCCATTTACACTAGCCTCTGAAACCGATCTATGTCTGGTTCGATCCGAGCTTGGATCAGTTAACCATGCTGTGCTCGGTTCCTTACGACCATTTACTTATCAGGCTAGCACGGTTCGTCACCTCCTACTGACAATCTAAGGCGCTACTGCCGTAGCGGATCAAGCAAATAGAAATGGCGGTGCATATAACATTTAGGGAGTTATGTTTGTTTATAATTGTGATTTTCGCAGAGAGTCTGGCAAAGTAACAGCCTTTAGTGAATTTACTTGACAGAGTCAGCTTTTGGGAAGTGGATACGACAAATGATAGTCTAATCAGGGCTTTCAGATGCAGGAAACAATGACAGACGCTGAGATTCATCACACTGCTAAGCAGAATCATCACTGGAAATCGTGTGGCACGGTAGGGAAGCTAGTATTTTTTTGAATGTCTGAAATTTCATTGTTATGGAGGCTGACTGTAAGGAGATGACGCGGTCTGCTCATGCGCTCTTATCTGAGAACCGAGCCACAACTGAACTGCGCCGAGCCCTACTGATGAACTAGTACAAGTTTAGTGCAGTTCGGTTGTGTCTGGCGCGGTTCGCTTCAGTTTTGCGTGCCATTTACACTCAACAGTTATCTCGGTACCCGTGCCCAGACCGCTCTCAGCACGGTTTCAAAAGTGTAGTGTAAATGGGGTATTAGATTTATCTGTATTTTCACAGCTGTAGGGTATGATGGGGTGTTCAAAAAATATCAAAGTCAGAGCATTTTGAATTTAAACTGCAGTTTAAAGAAAGAAATGTATGTCAACTGAAAAGATTCCCCTATTGAGACATAAGGAAAGCTGTTGAAAACCAAGATGCTGAAGAATGAATCATCAATGCCCCTCAGTGTCACAAAACCCCCACAAAACTTTTCAAAGTTATTGAAAATGTGATAATTTAGAAGAGGTGAAATCTAATCACTTCATTCAACATTCATGAAATATTTATAAAATTTGGACGGATGATTAATATGATCATGAGCAAAAGAGAATTTTTTTAAAATGAATTTTCAAAGCCTAAAATGGGTAAAAACCCAACATCTTGACATATTTGAAGCTGGGACTCAAAACGACAAAAAAATTAAAGCTTTGAAAACTTAATGTTAAGCAGGAAGAATTAAATACACTTCTTAACCCGTTTGCCTAAAACACATTATTCCACTGAAGCCACATTTTTATCATTAAATCTTAGCCTATAACTCCCACAGAGGTTCATGTTTGTAAAATCTAAAATGTGGGGTCTTCCCCCAGATTTTCTCTTTTGACTCCATAGAACAGAAGATATGCGTTACATTACAGTTTACCGTTAGACAGATCATAGTATACATCACCGTTATGACGGCTCAGTTTGTTTCACATGCAGACACACAGACCCCCACACATTCACACACCCACACACACAAACACTTAGACTGCAACATGCATTATGTATTCAAAGAGGAATCAGTTTCCAACTATGACTACGGGCTTCCTTCCCTCCTCTCAAGATGAGTCAGAGATATTATCACCTGATTGCACATGCAGTCCTGAGAATTTTTTAATCAGTCACTTCCTCTTTCAGCCACACACACCCAAGACAGCAACCAATGGCAAACGTTCAGACATAGCTTTGCAGATCAGTAAAAATATCCAAGTCTATGTTAATGTTAACTTCCTCTTTCGTCTATTTGGCAAAAAGCTACTCATGTTCTCTTCTTTTTTTCCCCACTACTCCATTCAGGGGAAGCAGAAGCATTTAAATTTACACTAGAGTGTCAATAGGAAGCCCGATGTAGGTGTCAGTACTAATCCTATTATTAAAAGAATTTCAAAGGCTGTCGCTGAGATGTTTCTGTAGAAGTCTGGGGAGTTCAGGATTGAGGCCTCTGTAAATGGGTTGTGCAATGTACATGGCGCCACTATGCGATTATTGTTGATATTCAAAAATACTGCTAAGATGGAACTGTCTTCTATCTTACCGTGTTATCAGACAACCATTCTGCACTGCGGTGCTGCCATTAGTCATTGCATTTACTGCTTTAATATTTGCAGGTGTTCAGCTGCAGATTCCTCAGGTCTAATTACCAAACACACCGTTCATTCATCCGTTTAATTCAGTTGAGTTTCTGTTGTGACAGAAACATGTGCCTGGAAAACAATAGCAGTTCTTTAATGAATATAAAAACAGAGGTGAGACCTCAGGACTCCCTCTTTACCTGAAAAAAAGAAATAACACTGGTGAATCAATCCTTTCTATGCCTTTACCTATGCAGTTATGGTAGAAAAGATTGGAATGAAGAGCTTCTTAAACCTTTATTGGGCACTCATTGAAATGCTTTGAAAATCTAAATTTCAAGCCAAGAGTGTTATCAGAGGACAAGACAAGCCCTTATTACTTTTGTAAAATTCAAAAAATACACTAGAAAAAAAAATCAAAATCTAGATAAACCTCTGCTTAAGAAACCGTCTCTTGACCCAGATGACTTGGTTAATTATAGACCTATATCCAATCTTCCTTTCTTATCCAAAATTCTTGAGAAAGTAGTTGCCAAACAAGTTTGCGACCACTTACACCATAATGAACTTTTTGAAGAGTTTCAGTCTGGCTTTAGAGCTCATCATAGCACTGAAACAGCTCTGGTGAAAGTCACTAATGATATTCTCATGGCCTCAGATAATGGACTTGTATCTGTGCTCGTCCTGTTGGATCTTAGTGCTGCATTTGATACAGTTGACCATAATATTCTTTTAGAAAGACTTGAATATTTTGTTGGAATTAAAGGAACAGCACTAGACTGGTTTAAATCTTATCTATCTGATCGAATTCAGTTTGTTCATGTTAATGATAGATCTTCAACACGCTCAAAGGTTACCTGTGGAGTACCACAGGGATCAGTGCTAGGACCAATTCTCTTTACTTTGTACATGCTCCCAATTGGTAGAGTTATTAGACAGCATGGGATTAATTTCCACTGTTATGCTGATGATACCCAGCTATATCTGTCTATAAATCCAGATGAAGCTAACCCATTACATAGATTACAAGCATGTCTTGAAGACATAAAAACCTGGATGACTCTTAACTTTCTGCTTCTGAATGCAGACAAAACAGAAGTTATAGTCTTTGGACCAGAGTCTCTGAAAAAGAAGCTGATTAGCCAGTCACTTCATTTGGATGGGATTAAACTGATTTCAGATAATAAAGTAAAAAATCTTGGTGTTATTTTTGATCAGGACCTGTCATTTAAATCCCAGATCAAAGAGGTTTCTAGAATTTCCTTCTTTCATCTGAGGAACATTGCAAAAATTAGAAATCTCCTGTCCAGGGGTGATGCTGAGAAACTAGTCCATGCATTTGTTACTTCAAGGCTGGACTATTGTAATTCTTTACTATCAGGAAGTCCACAAACTGTAGTTAAAAGCCCTCAGCTGATCCAAAATGCTGCAGCCAGAGTTCTGATGAAAATTAAAAAGAGAGATCATATCTCGCCTATCCTGGCTTCTCTTCATTGGCTTCCTGTTAAATCAAGAATAGAATTTAAAATCCTCCTTCTCACATATAAAGCCTTAAATGGCCAAGCTCCATCTTATATCAGAGATCTGATTGTTCCTTATGTTCCTAACAGAGCACTTCGCTCTCAATCTGCAGGTTTACTAGTGGTTCCTAGAATTTCTAAAATTAGAATGGGAGGCAGATCTTTTAGTTATCAGGCTCCTCTCCTGTGGAACCAACTACCAGTTTTAGTCCGTGAGGCAGACACTCTGTCTACTTTTAAGACTAGGCTTAAAACTTTCCTTTTTGATAAAGCTTATAGTTAGGGTGGCTCAGGTTATCCTGAGCTCTCTCT